TTAAATATAATTTAGCTTTTAAAAAAGAATGAAATCGGCCAGGTGCAGTGGCTCACGCCTGTAATCCCAGCGCTTTGGGAGGCTGAGGTGGACAGATCACCTGAGGTTAGGAGTTCGAGATCAGCCTGACCAGTTTGATGAAACCTTGTCTCTAATAAAAATACAAAAATTAGCCAGGTGTGGTGGCATGTGCCTGCAATCCCAGTTACTTTGGAGGCTCAGACAGGAGAATCTCTTGAACCCAGGAGGTGGAAGTTGCATGAACCTACAATCCTAGTTACTCGGGAGGCTCAGACAGGAGAATCTCTTGAAACTGGAAGATGGTTGCAGTGAGCCGAGATCATGTCATTGCACTCCAGCCTGGGCAACAAGAGCAAAACTCTGTCTCAAAAAAATAAATAAATAAATAAATAAAGAAGGGCATTGTGCTAAGTGAAATAAGCCAGGCACAGAAGGACAAATGCTGCTGATTCCACTTATATGAGGTACCTAAACTAATCAAACTCAAAGAAGCAGAGAGCAGACAGTGGTTACCAGGGACCAAGGGGAAAGGGAAATGGGGATTGCTGTTTAACTGGCATAAAGTTACAGCTATGCAGGCACGTTGAGCGCTAGCGGTCTGCTGTACAGCATAGTGTCCATAGTCATCAGTGCCGTGTCATGCGCTTGCAAATATGTTAAGAAGGTAGATCTCATGTTCAATGTCTTTAAACACACACACACACACACACACACGGAGGGACCCAAGGAAGCTTTGGGGCATGATAGTTATGGTTATTCCCTTGATTGTGGTGATAGATTCACAGGTATATGTATGTGTCCAAGCTCATCAAATTGAATGTGTTAAATATGTGCAATATTTGTATGTCAATTATACCTCATAAAGCTGTTTAAAAAATAAAGAAAATGCAAATGAAAAAAAAAAAACTTCTTATTTTGATAATTGCTGACATATAAAATGCATTTTTATAGAAAATATTGATCTTACATCCAGTGGCCTTGCTAATTTTATTTATCACAGCTGAGAACTTATATATTTTATTTTCTAGGGTCACATTTATTTTGTCTGCAAATAATGACGATTTAAATTCCTTTTTTCTAAATCTTAGGACTTCTGTTTTCCTTTTGTTGTTTTATGTACTGGGTAGAATTTCTAGAATGTCTTGAATAGAACTGGCAATAGCTGCTAGACTTGTCTTATTTGTGTCTCAGAGGAAAACTGTCAATATTTGAATCTTAGGTGCCATGCTTACTGAAAAATTGTATTCTTTATCATTTAAGAATGTTACCTTCTATTCAGAGTGTGCCTTTTAATTAATAATAAATGTATGTTAAAATTTTTCAGATTTTTTTCAGTATCTATGTGATCATTTATCAGGTTATCTTTTTTGTCTATAATGCACATTGATTTTTTAAATATGAAACCCATCTTGCATTCCTGAACCAAACCTCATTGGAATAGTTTTATTTTATTTTATATATTATATATTTCTTTATACAGCAATGCTTGTTTATAACTTTTGCATTTGTATTTATTATAGAGACTAGTCTCTAACATTCTCAAAGCATGTAAGGTGTTACTTCTAGGCCATTGCATTAAAAATTGTGCAAGTTTTACAAAAGATGAGATCAAGACAGATGTGAACACTTTAACACAGGGAGACTCTTCACTCCATCCTTTAATTTTTACATTGTGCTGATCGCATAACCCCTTTGGGGTATGCGGATGTGTAAGAGGTTTACCATAAACAAGTCTGATTACCAGAAGTGAACTCCTTGGCATTACCCGGAATTAAATTGGTAAATTCCGTATTTCTCTAACTTAGCTCATTGTTTAGAGCAGGCTTATAAAAAGATAAATCAAGAGACCTAGATAGTCCTAAAAGTCCCTGGGTCTGTGGTCAGAGCTTAGCCTGTCTATACCCCTTATCTGCACATACCATTTTAAGATAATATTATCAATTTTCCAAATATTTGGTTAAAAGTATCATAGGGTAGCATGTAGCTTTCAAATCAATTGTCAGTAATTTCATATATTAATTCTATTATCTTTCCATCTAGAAACATGTTATCTTTTTTCATCAGCCAGAGAGTTTGTAGTCTTTCACAAAGTTTATAATGTTCTTCATATAAATCATGTCCCTTGTTTGTTAAATTTATTCCTACAGTAAAAAAAAATAATTTTGTTACCAGGAGTTGGACATTTCTTGCTGTTTCTCTATCTAGAAACTTACTGCTAATGTTAAGAGAAATAATTTTATAATATATCTGTTTCCATTTAGCTTACCAAATTGTCTAAATGTTATTATAATTATAAAAAAAATAGAATACTTTGTGTTTTTATTTTTACAATTATATTGTTGGTAAAACATAAGAACTTCTATTTTTCTATAATTTCTACTCAATATTTTATTTCCTTGACTTCTGCATTCACTAGACCTTTAAGATAATATTAGTCTAAGATAATAAATGTTATCTAATATTACCTCTAATTGATAGTTATTGCAGAAATGTATTATGTCATTCTCATTTTAAGTAATATCATTTGCCAGTTAGAATCCTATTTATTTTGGGGTTGCTCACTAGTCTTTATTTAATTATTTCCTTTTATTATTTTATTAAGATTTGTGACTTTGAAATTGTTCCCTAGATTTTCGTAGTCTTTTCAACATTTAGATAGGATTCTATGACTTGACACTTTCATTTGTTGATGTCACTGAATATGGTGACCGAGTTCCTACTTTAAACCAAAACTCCATTCTTGGAAGGCTCGGATTAATTAAGACACACTATTTTTGGATCACAATTTCAAATTTATTTGATATAATTTTGATTAGAATATTTGTTTCTATGCTCATGAGTGAGATTGCTCTATAGATTTTAAAATTTTGTCCTAATTTCATCAGTTTTATTAAAAATTAAAGGTATTCTGGCAACCTAAAATGAATCAGGGAGTTCTCCATATTTTTCTAAGATCTAAGGTCCCTCGAATAATGTTGCAAATGTTTTTTTTTTTTTTTTTTTAATTAAATATGGAGCCAAGCGCAGTGGCTCATGCCTGAAATCCCAGTAGTTTTAGGGCCAAGACATGAGGATTGCTTGAGGCCAGGAGTTCAACACAGTGTCCTTACTTATAAAAAATTTTAAAGTTAGCTGTATGTGGCAGTATGCTCCTGTAGTCCCAGTGGGAGGTTAAAACTGAAGGATTGTTTGAACCCAGGAATTCCAGGAAGCAGTGAGCCATAATCATGCTACTGCACTCCAGCCTGGGTGACAGAGCTAGAACCTTTCTCAGATAAAAAAGAAGAAAGAAAGAAAAGAGTATTAAATTTAACTCAGCTGCCGGACCATACATTTCTTGGTAGGTTTTCTTTTCATTACTTTTTCAGTTACTTTTGTTATCTAAATGATTTATTCAGGCCTTTTTCTTCTTTTGGAATTTGGAGTCTCAATGTGTATGTGTTCTCACCTTCATTAACTGCTTGTTTGAAATAGTATATATTCTTTTAAATGACTGCTGGAGTAAGGTCTTTGAATATCGGCTCTTTTTTTTAGAATTTTGGTTGTCCTTTTAAAAATATTCAGTTGAGTTTTACTTAAATCTGAAGGTGTTTAGGTGGAAGAATTTTTCAAAATCGCCTTTTCCTAGTCTTGCTTTTTTTTCTAGAAGAAGCATAAAGAATTTAATGAACTTGCTTCATACACTGTTTCCATTACCTGTAGTTTGAAATTTGGGAATAGTAATCTTTATCTTTCCAAGTTGTTTTTTGACATTTTAAAACAATATAAACTGGCTTTCATTTTTCCTACTCAAAGATGACATTGCTGATTCACAGCCCCGGTTGTTTGGTTAAATATGTGATGGAGTCTATGAAATCATACATTCTGGTCGGGCACGGTGACTCACGCCTATAATCCCAGCACTTTGGGAGGCTGAGGTGGGCAAATCACAAGGTGAAGAGTTCAAGACCAGCCTGGCCAACATAGTAAAACCTCATCTCTACTAAAAATACAAAAAATCAGCTCGCCTTGGTGGCAGGCACCTGTAATCCCACCTACTCAGGAGGCTGCGGCAGGAGAACTGCTTGAACCTGGGATGTGGAGGTTGCAGTGAGCCAAGATTGAGCCATTGCACTCCAGCTTGGGCAACAGTGTGAGACTCTGTCTTACCAAAAAAAAAAAAAAAATCATACATTCTAATCCTAAATCCTTTCCTTTCTGTGCAGTTGGCATTGACTTGTATCTAGGAAATTCACTCTCTGAATACGATATTTTCCAATGAGAATAATTGGGTTTCCAAATTGCCCTTCACTATGATTATCAAAGGGCAGGATCAGACCTTGACATTGTTGGGTATAGCCTTCCTTGTAAGTCTTCAATATTCACTGAAGCTACCCTAGACAACAACTCTGAACGTGTGATCTTTTAAGCTGCTGAGAGATGTTATCCCTGGCACATTTGCCATAAGCACATCCGCAGTAGTTAAAATCTAAAAGCAGTTATTTTGTTAATGTTCAGATTAGATCTTTAATTAAGCTTTCATCCCCTCTAGCACAGACAACAATGTCAAACATGTGAGCCCCAGGAAAAACCAAAATCCATTCTATAGGCTGATATCCTTCAGTACTTTGTGAAGAAACTAAAAAATAAAGCTCTCCTGAGAATTCATTAAGGGCATGTTGAATGAATATCTTAATTGTCAGCTTAGAAGCTTCATTTAATTTGACGTCAAACTCTATGATATGAGTGAAGCCAATAAAAATGTTCATTTAGGTGATTTGAATCAAGAGTTTGTTTTTAATAGATTAGCTGTCATTTTAGGTATTTAATGTTATTCATGTATAAATGCCATTGGTTATCTACAAACCATAATAGTAAATATGTAAAAATGTAATTTTCTTTATCTAAAGGATAGTTTAACGTGTACAAAGATTGTGGAGCAAAGAACAGCTAAGTGTGCAAGAGAACTTGCATCCATGACTTTCCCTTTGTTTTTGCAGGATCTTTTATTTATTTGGAGGCACAGCAAACCCCTGGGGTGGCTAAGCTTGGAAGTCCTGTTCTTACAAAATTGCTCACTGCTTCTACTCCATGTCAGGTAATCCGCTGTTCTGAATTCCCATTGGCCATTCTGTGGTTGTAAATCGCTAGGCTTGTGTTACTCTGCCAGCAAATGCCTGCCATTTTTTATTATCACTTTAATGATGAATTAAGAGATTTATATGTGCTATTTCAACATGAAATGCCATGTCCTTCTAGAAGACCATTTGTAACATGTAATTGGCACCATTCTTTTTGAGGGCAATTACAGAAGCTTTCTGTTGTTTTATATTCTTTTCACCCAGTCATTTCAATAATCTAAATCTGTGGATAAATGTTGCCAAAACTTTTGGCCAACAATGTTGATTGAGAAAAATAAAATGAGTTAATAAGTGTTTGTTGAAAGAAAGACAAATGGATGAGTAAAGATAAATGTATACAGAAAAAATTATTACATTTACTGAAATTTCTTCCTTTTTTTTTTTTAATGAATCCTCTGGTGCCAGGTAAACACAAACCAACATATTAGAGAGGATGGACTAGTCAGATTTGGTTCAAGTCTCTTTTGCCATTGTGGTACAGACAAATTGTATATTCCTTCTCAGACTCAGTGTCTACACCAGAAACATAACATAATTGTATGAATTAAAAGTCAGCATTTATACTGGAAGCAGATACAACTGTATGGATTAATGTCAAGGATTAAAATGTGATTAGATAAAGCACCTGGCAAGATATTTGGTACATAGGAGGTAAACAATATTTGTACCAGACTTCGGTATATATGTAACAAATATAATGTTAATTCAGGAAACAATTCCTTTGGTATATATGTACCGAATATAATGTTAATTCAGGAAACATAATTCCTTTGGTATATACGTACCAAATATAATCTTAATTGAGGAAACATAATTCCTTTGCTTTCCATGAAAGTAACATCTAAATCGGGTGTCTGTATTCAGCTTGTCTTGTTTTCAGTCCTTTTGAAAGGTCCAACATGCCTCTCAGCCATTAGGATTTCAGCTCATTTTTTGGTCTTTACTTATCAGAAAATAATGAAGAGATCGATACTACCACAGAGTAAATTCATTGCATATAAGTGTAGTATTAGAGCAGTTTACTTTGGCATCCCTCGTGATGAATGATATATTATTCAGAGGTATAAACCTAATTAAACTTTCAGTTTGGTGTAAGTCTAAGTAGAAGTGCCCTGAGTTCTTAATAGTGATGTCCTAATTTCTTTTTTTTCTTTTGTTTTTCTTCCCATTTCTTTGTGAGAATAAGAATTACAACTGGTCTCTATTTCTACTTTATCCCAATGCCTTTTACCCAATCCCACCTCTTTATTTTTGTTAAATCCTATAAGATAGACAGAAAAAGAGAAAGATAGATATAGAGGTTTTTTTTAGAAGGTGGAAGGGGAAACTCCAGAAGCACTTGCTCTTTAAAAGTACAAGCCAACTTAGATTTAATTCAAGGTCATACATCAATGTGATGAGATCACCGATGTTAGACATACAGAAGAAATTGAATGTAAAGGAGTACGATGTGTTCATTCTGCCTCCTTTACAGAAATTTGAAGAAATTAAGAACTTATTAGAAATTCCTATGACTCACCAAAAGTCACTGAGAAATCATATCTATGTGTGTGATTTTAAAAGCTGATCTACATTTCCCATCATTGTATGCTTGCTGATAGCCATTGATTGGTGGTCACCAGGATTGAGTTTTAGTTTATCATTGCTTCCACTTGAGGATGCTTAATTTTTGCTTAAATTTGTAACTTAGTTGGGATTGTGGGTGTTATTTAGGTGGGGTCTCAGTGAAAATGCTGACATGGACGCTTCAGGTGCTTGCTAGTTTATCTCAAAACCAAGGCTTCAATCTCTAAAGGCTATGGATACTGACTTAACGGTTTGCCTTGTTTTTTGAAAAACTGAGACTGTTTAAAGGAGCCACTACAGACTGCCAGAAGAGGTATTTGTTTTTCACACTTTTCTCTACGTGCTTGAATTTTAGGAGTCTTTGAGTAAGCAGGAAGGATCTTTGGGTTACTTTATAATGCTTTCCAGTTTAGGAAGTAGGAGTAAACTGTAGAATGTTATTGATCGTCCATGATAAACATAGCTAAGGCTCTCTCTCAGGATTTTTTTTAAGACTATAACTAAAAATACAAAAATTAGCTGGGCATGGTGGCACGTGCCTGTAGTCCCAGCTACTCAGGAGGCTGAGGCAGGAGAATTGCCTGAACCCTGGAGGCGGAGGTTGCGGTGAGCTGAGATCGGGCCATTGCACTCCAGCCTG